GCTGTTTCACTTTACAAAACATAATTCTGGTAACATTAAATATTGAATTAGTTATAATGCTATCTGAGCAAATCAACGAAAAAAATTGCGAATGTCCTATGGATGAACAACATGGTGATCCCTGCTTGTTAATGCGACAATAGTTTGGTGTACTTCCGCGTAAAAATTTTTTTAATTTTTTTTTATTAGTTTTTATTATTGCAGCTCTGACATACGCAGAACCACTTACAATGTTACAGATATATCATCTATATATCTTTATTATGTTCTTCATATCTTCAACCAATGATATGAAGCAGCCATCTTTTGCCACAAAGGCTGTTTGTTTATCCTTTTCACACGACGTACACATGGATTTATGTGCACGCGCAAGCACCGCGTCATATACGCTGAGTATACGATAGCCATTGAGATGTTTGACTCACTGCGCATTCGAACCACTGAGGCATCTCGCCGGCCAGCATGCGACAACTTACGTCGTCTACCCATTAACCAACCCCGAAAAGATGGACGGCTGGGTTGACCGGGAGTCGGCTACCCGGATGAACCTGTAGAAACTGCAGAATTCGAACCCGGGTTGTGGAAGTGGTAGACAGACACGCTAACCACTCGGCCACGAGACCCCTGAACAACTAAGACTAAGTCGCATACGCTTGCGTACGAATTTTCTCAAATTTTAAAAATTGAGCCGTTCAGCTGTGTTTCTAATCAAATTATAGTTCCATTTGTTATAATGAACGCAGGAGCGAGAAACAAGGAGGCGTCAATAATGAAGCGCCCGAAGCAGCAGCACCAGCAGCAGAAACAGCAGCAGCCACAACTTGCGAGCTCCATACTGCTGGACGACGGCACAGACGCGTTCAACCACTTTTCACCATCGAGCAGCAGCACAGACAGAAGTTCGGACAGCGGCAGGATGACCGACGAGGCGTACGGGACGCTGGGCAGCACTGTCTCCAACAGCACAACGAGCACAGGCAGTGACAGCAGCGGCAGTGTGGTCACCGTCATCGCTGCCGACGTCGATGTCGTTTCGAGGAGGGTGCCCAGCACGAGGTTGTTTCATTCTTACAATTCTTCATGAGGGATGTCGTTTGACGATGCAATATTTTTGGTTCCTGTGTTATAATAAGTTTCAAAACATTTTCAGCAACTTCAACAAAGTGCATCCTCATGAACAGTTTAATGTGTTCAATTTATAAACTTTAATTCATATTTTAAAAAGTCGCAATCAAGGAGGGGCCAAAATGGTGATGGCAGGTGCAAGCCACAAGGAGCCATCAGGGACCCTTCCACTGTTGAAGAAGGAAGAGAGGCCCACTGTTAGGTTCAGCAACCAGCCGCCATCCACGTTCAAGTTGTGCGTAACATCTTCTAAACGTTTTTAATATTTGTTTTATACACGAGCCTGGAAATTCAGTTGAGACATTTTGTAGGGTTTTTTTTATAATAATTTAAATTTCCTGACAAACCAATAGTTACAACTGGAGTGTCTGAGTGGGAATTTTTTGAGAACTCATAGTAGGAGTGGGGTTTTTCATCCGACTCCGAAAATTATTTATTTTAAAATTTTTTGTGTTTTTCTTGAAATTTCATTTGAGACTGTGTTTTTTAGAAGATAAATATGTGTAGCAATAATAACCAATCATCTTAAATACTGAAAATAAATGCTAACAATGTGAATAAAATCATAATTTTTTTCAATTGCTGTAAAATATGAAAATATAGTAGTTTTACTGAGAAAAATCACATTGACGGATTTTAAATGTTTTTTGAAGTATTTTTCATGCGAATCAACATTTGGATCAACTTTCGCCTGGATGCAGTTTGAACACAAACATCCTCTGTGTCATCGGTCTGCTGTGTTGCGTGTGCTGTGCCTACAGCATATACGATGAAGTTGAAGTGAACATAACCGTGCACATCCCTATCCACCTCCTCAAGTTCAGACCGGAAGTGTTCGTCAGGAAGCAGGCAGACGTCAGAACCATCAACAACATCAAGTCTCACGCCCTGCTGGTCGATGTCTATGGTCTGTTGTTGTTGTTGTTTCAACAATTCACAACATTTCGCAACAATTCACAGCAATTCACAACATTTCACAGCAATTCACAACATTTCGCAACAATTCACAACATTTCACAACATTTCGCAACAATTCACAACATTTCAGAGCATTTTGTTTGTATTTTTTGATGACAAGACCACTAAAAATTAAATATGCCACCGTGATGTTCCAGGCTACAAATATTATTTTGTGATAAACCCCATTCAAAGTTTACTTTAAATTAAATTAGTTTTTTAACAAAGAAAGTGTATTTATATACATCCCTTGAATAACAGCTCGGGTATTATTTAACATCTGCCATCTGTACTCAATTTCTTATCTCGAATTTTTAAAATGCTGAGCAGTTTTTTTAAACAGTCTCTAAAAACTCTTTCCTATGTTTCATTCTCAGTTTTCAGTCGCATTAATTTGCCAGTTATTTAATAACTCGCATTTTAATTTTGTACCCCAACAACAAAAACTACTACTACTACTACAGCAACTACTACTATTACTACACCAACAACAACATAAACAACAACACAAACAACACCAACAACAAAACCAAAAACAACAACACCACCAAAAACAATACAAACAACACCACCGCAACAACGCCACCACCAACAATAAAATCAACAACCACAACAACACTACTAACAACAACACCACAAACAACAACAACAACAACACAAACAATCGCGCATACTCACCGCTGCAGATTTGGACGACGCGAGACTGCCCAATCCAACTGACCTCTGCAGGACAAACACGCACTGCGACCAGTCGTGCGACCCCATCAATGGTCAGTGCATTTGTAAGAGAGGGTACAAACTCGTTGGGGAGAGCAAGTGTGAAGGTAGACATGATGATGATGATGATAGTGGTGATGATGATGATGATAGTGGTGAGGATGATGATGATAGTGGTGAGGATGATGATGATAGTGGTGAGGATGATGATGATAGTGGTGAGGATGATGATGATAGTGGTGAGGATGATGATGATAGTGGTGAGGATGATGATGATAGTGGTGAGGATGATGATGATAGTGGTGAGGATGATGATGATGATGATAGTGGTGATGTTTTTAGTTACGAGATAGTTGTATGAATGATGATCATTTATTAATGACAATGATGGCGGTGATAATTCCGACCACGAGTTGAACGATGCCGATGGTGCTCGGGAGGTGTTTGTGGGCGCTGACTGCCGCCTTGAATGTTAGATGGACGTCGACTTCATGCTGGCGTCACAGCTCTCCATTCATTTGCATGTTAAGAAATTCCTGCCGACATTTGCAGACGTGAACGAATGCCACACGCTGGACAGGCCCTGCCACAAACACGCCCACTGCAGGAACACGGAAGGCACTCACACCTGCCAGTGCATTATCGGCTACTACGGGGATGGCCACCAGTGCCATGGTTCGTCACTTTATTATTATTATTATTATTATCATCATCATCGGACTTCCTCTTCAGACGTCTTTTTTTATTTGTACACATTTTTACATAAGAAATTATGTCAAAGTTTTTTAGGTTTCTTTTACGCAGTTCATCATGGATTGTAAAAATTAAATTTTCAGTGACCAGCGTAATTTTCATCTTTGATGTTGTTTAACGGTGTAATCATTTTAAGAGTTTGTTGATGAGCACTGAAATGTTCTCACACTTCAGACTGTAACGATGACTGTCCGCCGGGAACTTACGAAGTCCAACCGTGCAACAACGCACCAAACTCTGCAAAAAAGTGTGCAAGTAAGTGCATCTGCATATGTCATGTAGAATTTCTATTGTTGATCAAAACTGGTTGGTGGGATAGCGTAAATGTCAAAGACGCCTGATCCCACCTTACTGTAACCTGGTTCGAAAGCAAAGAGATCTCTGTCTACGATAAGCAATGCAATGCATTTACTTCGCGTACACTGTGAGAGTTTTTTGATGACAATTTTGTAACAAAAGAGCTGAATGAATGACCTTTAACCTTTATCTGTTCTGTTAATTGTTGACCTTAAGTCGTCTCCCTGTCCAATGGTCAACACTTTTATAACATTTTGCTTCAATTTAATCATTTAACCTTAGCCTATCAGCTTGTCATCATTAACTGTTTTCAACATATCCAACAACTAACATTAAAACAGTCTGATCAATTTAATTAACTTCCAAACAACTGATCGAACGTGGACCCCTTCAGAATGTTCAGACTCCTGCAAGGAAGGTTACTACATGACAGGCCAGTGCCAACCGCGCAACGACACCTTCTGTAAAGGTTCACACATCTGTTCACACATCTGTTCACACATCTATTCACACATCTGTTTACACATTTCTTCACACATCTCTTCACACATTTGTTCATCTTCTTTTCATTTGTTTTTGCTTTTGTTCATTCATGTTCACCAATCTTATATTATCCTAATCAACGTCCACTAAAATAATGTTACATCGCTGTGTGACATCATTGAAGTGGATGACGTTTGTTGTTTTCAGTCTGCAAGCCCATGTGTGGCAATCTTGATTACGAGTCTGCACCTTGCGCTGGCTCGCAGAACAGACAATGCAAAGGTAACTCTACTCATTCACGTTCGTTTATAACAACATTTCATGCTTTGCTACTTTCATTGGATAAGGTATGTTTGTTTTGTTTGTAAGTGTGTGAGGCCAATGAGGCATATTTGTGACTCACAACCAACGAATGTTACAACTCGATGAAAGGTTTCTTATCCATGCTTATTCGAGTATTCATAATAGTTTGTGAAATATTTCTTTCGTGAACAAATTGGGAATATATATACTTAAATGGACAGCACACGCACACACATACACGCGCACGCACGTACACATGTACACACACGCACGCACACGTACACACACACGCACATACACACACACACACACGTACATATACACATACAAACACACATACACACAACGTCAGAAATGTCTTCACTGAGCGATCCGACAACATCGGCAAACATCTTCTTGGAGGACCTGAGGGACATGGTTCTCGTGGTTTCCTACCAGATGCAGGAGAACAAGAACGACAACATGGTCCCGAATGTCATGCCACTCACAAGAAGTTCGTGCTGGTTTAAAAAAAATTTCGTTGTCGGTGATGGCGGTGGTGTTGCTTTTGATAGTTGTGATGATGATGATGATGGTGGAGGTGGTGATGATGATGATGATGAAGGGGTGATGATGATGATGGAGGTGATGATGATGATGATGTAACTGGCATTGCATTTTTTTGCTAGTTGTGTCGTCGCTATTATTTTTATTTAATAATATTGTTTTTGAGAATTTTAAGGGTTTTTTTTTGTGAAGTTTTTTTTTTGAAAGCGGCAAAAAATATTGAAGCGATTTTGAACGGCTGGAGATTCCTTTGAACGTTCCTCTGCAGAGTCTGGCCTGCAGGTGCGTCTGACGATAAAGGAACTCAACCTGGCTCCAATCTATCGCAACGTTGACCACTCCCAGTCGAAACGACAAGGCGACCTGGACAACCAGGCCTCCCTTCACTAGTACTGCCCCTACCCCCTCCCAGAGAAGTTCAACATCACCATCCACAACGCACGGGGTAGGGCTGTTAATGTTTTCCTAAAACGATGAAATCAATTTATCATTTGCTACGTTACTATCTGTCTTGTCTTCTTAAATAATAATTACTGTGATGTTTTTCTTCATCGTCATCAGCATCGTTTTTATTGTTGGTGTCGTCGTCGTCACCATCATCATCATCATCATCATCATCATCACTGTTTATATTTTCATCATCATCATCATCATCATCATCACTGTTTATATTTTCATCATCATCATCATCATCATCATCACTGTTTATATTTTCATCACCATCATCATCATCATCATCACTGTTTATATTTTCATCACCATCATCATCATCATCATCACTGTTTATATTTCAATCATCATCATCATCATCATGAATCATCATTGCGGTTTAATCATTACTGCGGTGATCGTGTTCATTGTATGGGTTAGATGATTTTTAAAATAACTGTGCATGCAAAGTAAGCAATTTAAATAATTTTTATTGTCCCGTATTAAACGTAAATTAGTTGACGTTCCATTAAACTTGCTGCCCCATGAATGTAACAACACCACACAAGTCACTCCACCACACACGTCACTCCACCATACACGTCACTCCAACACGCACTTCACTCCACCAAACACCGCACTCCACCACGCACTTCACTCCACATTGCAGGGCGTAACGACGAAGGCTCAGTACCACTACTGCAACGATATCTTGGACGACGACTTTTTTGGCGAGGGTAACAGCGATAAAAAGAAGAAAAAGAAAAAAAAGAAAAAGAAAAGATCGGTGATGTCCTCGTTAGCGTCGGAGATGGAGGACCACGTGGAGACCTGTGATGGCGACGTCGGGTACTTCCTCAATCCCAGAGCCCCCTGCCAGGCTCATGTCGTCAGCGGCAACATGCCTCGCTGGAAGTCTTCAAAGAGTGTCGTGTGCGTTAAGCCGTCGACGATGACGGATCGGCTGGGCATCAGCTCCAAGTTCGATGACGTCTCAACAACTTTCCTCGATACAGATCAAGCGTCAGTTTATTAAATTTCATTTATGTCGAAGATTTTTGTAATCATCTTTTTTTATACGTTGACGTTGAAATTGTGTTGAATTGTTTTTCTGTTAATATTTGAGTTATATTGTAAAAAATATTTTTCGAATCATAATTTTTGTTCTTTATTTTGCATCCTTGACCCGTTCAACTCACAAGATGTTTCTTGCCGATTGTGATTGAATGTTTGGCACAAAGACTGCACAATTTCAGACGACACTTCCACCAACCAAGCTTACTAACTTGCCAAATTGTAGTTCTGAAATTTTTATAAGCTCTCTACAACGAAAAAATGTGTGGACTGCTAAAAATTCACCAACAGCACAACAAAGTTTTTTTACGCTGTTGTTAATATTAAGATGTGATGAAGAACCGTTAATTTAAGTCAGCTCATTTTGCGTGTCTTTCAATCAAGCTGATTACTCATTATTTGTTTATAATTGAATTTTTTTTAAATAATACAGTCATAACATTTTACCGATATTTTGATATGCACCGTGCAAAACCCATCAACCGACACATCCTTGTTCTGAAATGCCTGAAGGTGCGCCAAAAGGCGGTCGACGTGTGACAAATGTTTGAAAGATTGCGCACAGAAGATGGTTGATTACAACGGAAGCCACAAGTGCAACGTCACTGCTGATGATGCCGACAACGGCGAGTCTCCAAGACTGCAGTACTGTTACAGCTGCTGTAGCAAGAATGAATGCTCGAACGACTGCGAGGTTTACTACGATAAGAACTGCACGCAGATCAGGTTGTTTGTTTTTTTAACTCTGTAACAAAAAGTTTCATTTCATTTGTTATTTTCTGTCCAGTGTGTTAAATGTTTACTCAATAATGAATTTCTCAGATGCTTGACCGGAAATATAGTTGAAATAACAATGAACCCGGTGTTCCAGCCCGGCAGTCCAGTTTATGCCTGCCACATCGAGCCCCTCCCCAACTACGTCATCTACCACATCGAGTATGAGGTCTTCGCTAATGCCAACGAAAGTCAAAGGCTGAACAACAAAGTTTTCAAAGTGGTTCGCAGGTACAGCAAGGAGCTTGGCCATCCGCACAGCGCCGTTGAACAGTGAGTCTGCTAAATTATTAAACTGTTTATTGTAGTTGGTTTAAGAATGTGAAACAAAACTTTGGTACCCAATTAAATACAGTAAGACCTCTGCGCAACAAACTTGATGGTTCCAGGAAAAAAATTTGTTATATAATAATAGAATTTAATCGAGAAAAAATTCGATATTGCTTATAATGTGTTTATTTATATGCAATATATTTATAAAAAACTACCTTTAATCGTTTACTTTTTATAACAGAAAGTAATAATACATTGTATAATTTTCAAAAATATGAGAAATAACAACATAGTAATGCAAGAATGTAGCATACAGTTTGCTTTGTTCAACAACTATATTTTTAAATTATCGGATATTTCTTTCAATTTTTATAAATTTTGTTCGTTATAGAAAAATTATTTTTGTTCTATAGTAACATTTTGTATGTTAAATTCCAAAGGACATGTAAAAAATTTTCGTTGTGTAGAGATTTTCGTTGTATAGGTGTTTGTTATAAGAAGGTTGAACAGTATCTGAATACTTGAAGGATGCGATTTATTTTAAATGTTTTTAATTTTGTCAAAATTTTTCAATTTATCTTTTTTTTCAGGCATAACTTTTTGAACATATCATTTGGATCAGAAGTGTCCGGTTTTGTTGATTTGATTGAGAGCAATATTCGTTTAAAGATAGCAAAGGCAGGGCGCTACCAGGCTTTCGGGAAAAATCTTGACGAGGTCAACACGAATGAGAAATCATTTTTTGTAAGACCGGTGCAACCATTCGCTGTCAGCAAAAAAACTTGGAGTTGGTAGTTGCTCGTGTTGATGGGTCATTTATAAATTATTTTTGTTGTGATCGTTTCACTCTGTGTTAATTATGCACGTATCATCTTCAAATTAAAGTATGAGTAAAAACATCACTTGATATCAGTTCTATAAAAAATGAATATTGTTAGTTGAGAACCTCACAACAACCAACGTACAACAGACAGCCTGAGGTGCGAGTCAGACGTGCTGAGCAGGTTGGTGAGGGACACGACAGACCCCTTCAAACACGACCCCTCCATTGAGGTCCACCATCTTCGCGACGGCAACTACAAACTCTACAACAAGACCGATAAAAAATTACCATACATTTCTTTTGTTGTTAGATATTCTCCAAAATTTTAAAAATATTCATTAATGTGTTATAACGATTCAATTTCATTGAAATTGTAATTGATTTTTGAAATTAGACAAGAATTTTGGATGGTTTTTAATTAATATCACAACTTGGTGCTTATTTGAACATTTTATCTAAAGTACGAAACTTTTGTTGACGACCGCAGATACCCGTCGACCAGTCCATTCTGAAAGCTGTCTACGGCGCTGGCATCGTGAAGGATGACCAGTCGCTAAAGGCAGACCTGGTGAGGAAGGATAGGGAATGGAATCTGGTGATTCATGGAGAACTCACTAGCTGTCCTGGTACCTTTTTACACTTTCTGTTCTGCTCTGTTTGTTGTCTCCGCTCTGTCGCCTGTGTATTCTGTCTTATCTATTTCACACAATGCAAAATTTTTTTTACTCATGTAATATTTGTTAGGGCTGTTATGTAGGTGTGTCATTCTGGTTAATTAAATTATTGTTCAGTACTGGGTAGCTACAGAATTTTTGTTTTGTTTCATAAATTTGTTGTTCTTTTATTTTTTATTGATGTATTGAACTTTTTTGTAAAGATTTGATTAACGACCAATTGGAATAAATTAGATGCAGCAGTTACTAAATGAACTTGCCAGGTGCGTTCGATGTGGTAGTCCGGGACCCCATGTACCCGCACAAAAACCTTTTCCATTATGACGTAGGGGTGACCTGTCCATCCACCTTCACCTTGACATTCATCATTGCAACGGAAGGTCCGGACGTATTCAACAAAACTTTTCTGGTAGACATCAACGATAAATATCGAACAATCAAAGTGACCGTATTCAGACCCGCGCCAACCCTTACACAAGAAGATCTTGGTCAGTCATCCTCATTATTATTACTCTTTCCCTCTCTTTTTTCCTCTCTCTACAATATATATATATATATATATATATATGCTGATGCATTTTTGAATTATTTAAATAATGAACGTGTTTTTTCTAATAGTTATTATTATTTTATTGTGTCGAAAACGCACCATAACAGTACAAGAACATTTTCAACATTTTGCAGATTTCTTCCAGAATAATGGTTCAATAGGTGAGTAACTTTGTTGTTTTAGCTCTTGAATTTGTAATAATTTTTATTGTCAAAACGGTCCTAAATATTTGATTAACTGTTTCTTCGAATTATCTTGAGCTGTTCATTTACGAAGTTGTAACCATCATCGTCATCATCACCTCTATCATAATTTCTATCATTATCATCATCACCACGACCACTATCGTTGTCATCATCATCACCAGGTGGTCCAGTAAATTATGCATTGAACCACGAACACCCAATATTAATAATGACCCCTCCCATTGCTGTCCTCTGCATCATCATCATCTGCCTCGTCGTCATCATCTTCATCGGCATCGTCACGGAATCTGGTGAGTGCATTTTATTTCTTAGTGATCTTTTTAATAAAAATTAAATTTCAATGAGTTCGCCTTTTGTGATTTTTTTTATTTTGCCTTTGTTATTTTTGGCTGTAATCTGTGCTAGTGCTTAACTGCATGTATTTCATACGTTGTCACTCCATTTATCATTTATCACTCCGATATTTCGAAGGAAATCTGTCGTTAATATTTAATAAGCATAACTGCTTGCACGCATGTCGTGATGATATTTGAACGTCAGACAAGCTGGACAACAAGAAGTTGAGTGGGTCCGATGGTGTCGAAGCTCATCACTACTTCTTCGTCGTCTGCTACATCACCTTCAAGACCATGTACTCAGTTGCCATGACCTTCACCGTGCTTGTTCTGCTTATCAAACATTTTAACAAGTTAGATTATAATTATTTTTTGTTGAGTTTTCAAATGAATTTGAAAAAGAATTTTAATTGTTTAGCTAAACCTGATAAAAAGTTACTTGATCAAAGTCACTTTTAACATTCAACGACCCCTCCAAACTGGCGCATGATTGCAGAGACTCGATGAACACTCTGACAAACTTCGTGCAGTACACGCAAACAGCTTCCAACAGCCAAAAGTTGGACATAGAAGCCATCCACACGTACGCACGCAACGAAATCATGCGACAACACCAAATTGCCAACCAGACGAGGCACGACTGCGAACTGAAACTTAACGATCTTCAGGAACAATTGGAAAATGCAAGTTTCATTTTCACTTTTATGAGAAATATGATGGAATGATATCCAACATGTAATCTACAACTGATACATCTAATTCTTTTCGGTAATTAAAAATTTTAAATAATGTATATCAATAATTTCGAAATAATGCATATCAGTCGTTTTGAAGCGTTCCTTGTCTTTACTAATTCTTCACATTAAAATAAAAAACCACCAGGCCAAGCAGGCAATGAGCGTACACAGATACGATGCAGAGGAGGTCGCGAACGTGGCGAGGGAGTACACAAAAGTTTTGGTGCGAAACCTCACGAACAACATCAACAAATTCAAGTTGGTTCTTACTGCAAGAATTTCAACGACGCACATTTTTTGGAATTTATCTGTTTTTATTATAATTTTTGAGATAATTATTTTGTGATTTAATTATAAACAGATGTAGGTTGTAGTATGAACAGATGTAGATTCTAGTTTATAACATGTTATTTGCAGGCAGGAGTTCACGGCTTACGCGAACAGAGCGCTGGAGAAACTGAAGAGAAGCATCGTGCAGACGTCAAACGCCATTGAGAGCAGCAAGTGGATGGATGGACCAAAAATCATTTATGAAGAAGTTAAAAGGAAGAGATCCAAAGTGGGCAAGTCAACGAAACCATTTCTGGAGTGGGCGGGCATCAAGCAAGAGGTCGACAGGCTGGTTGCAGGTTGGTCGCTGGCTTCTCTGCTTTGTTGCTCGCATCCACTCTCGCTAGCAAAGACAAATTTCAAACTCAGTTAAAATAACATATAAAATAATTTTGTTTTGAAAAATTGTTTTTTTTTCAAATGATCTAAAGGGTTCTCCATATTTAAGTATCCAATATTTAAACTTTGGGCGTGTTTTATTTGTTATAATATTTGACGAACAATCCAATGCGTAAGTAGATTTCAAAATTTGTGAAAACTAAAAATTATCTGCCGTGCACAACAGGCCGGAATTTTTACGAAAATTTTATTTCAATTCATTTGGAGGTAACTTAAATTATTAGATTAGATGCCAATATTCAAAGTTCATAGTATTGTTCTCTTTCGTAAATTTTTAATGGAAACTACGTAAATGATTTCATTGACAACTTCACAGACCTTTCTCTCAAAGATTTTCCAATGCCGAACCTAACTGAATTTTTAAACACCGACATCCCAAAATCATGGAACCAGCCTATGAAGATACCACGAGCCAGCGACGTGATACTTCCACGCAATCAGTGGTACTACCACTACGACAAGAAACCACCGCAGCCGACAGCTGACGATGAGAATGAGAATGCAGATGACGACAAGAAAGTTCCTCAAATGATGAGCTTCACAACGTTCATCATCATTCTCATGGTTATCGACGCAGTCTGGTTCATCCATAGAATTGCGCGCACGTACTTTGGCGCTCAGATGATGTTGCATGGTTGTCCCATCTTTATATCTTGCAGGCTCTATCATCCTGATTATCAGCAGGAAGGTTAGGTGCAAGTTTTTGATCATACCTCTTGTTAATTGATATTGATCTACATGCTAGATGACCTTGGAAAATATTGTTGTCTGCTGTCATTTAGTATTATGATTTATTTTTTCTTTTGTTTATTGATGTTATAATTTAATCGGAGTCTTTACAATGTTAAACTTGAGTTTTTACAATTTTTAAGGTCCTACTGAAGAAACACAACAACAACAACAGCAACCACAGCAGCAGCTGCAACCACAACAGCAACAACCACCACCACCACCACCACCACAAGCATCTGGCACTCAACAAATTCCTCCACCACCTCCAACGACACCTCCAACTGCTACGAAACCGTCGAAGTTGAGATCCTGCCTCAGCACGTTAAGAGACATCAACTTCAAGGTAAGGAACAGTGGACTAAGAGAAGGACGCATCTGCAAATATGTTATTAATAAGAATACCTCAGCTTTATAACGCTCAATTAGGCGTTTGCCATCTTATTTGGTATGCTTTAGAAGATGGATGATATTTCAAGAGAATGCGTGACAGCAAGCATTTTTTTGTTATAAATTTTCAAAACACTGTAGATAATGAAAACTGAGTTCATTCCGAAAATGGTGTCGACAGTTGCAGTTGGTTGTGCACTGTACATCGGCCTGTCTGCAGCCGACAAGTTGCTCTCCGTCAAGAGTCTCGTTTCCATTGGATACTTCGATGCGCTGGTCCGTAAAATGCACTTATTATTTTGTTCTCGTTCAATAAGAAATTTCAACCGTCCTTTAAACATAATAAAAAATGATTAATCATTATCTAATGAATATTCAAAATAAAATATTTCTCAGTCGTCAAACAAGTTCTCCGTTAACGAAATGTATTTCAAATGCTCTTAATAACCTTTGGACACTGTATGTTACAAATATTTGCTTGAAAATATTTTACCTTTCTGATATGTGCACTGTTCTTTATTTGAAACTTGCTCGTCATCGTATCATTCTTCGAAAAACATGCTTAATGCTAGCAACCACATAGAACATGCTGATACGCAAAAACATTTTTTATTTTTTAGTTTCATATATTTGAAGCCAGCCGACAATTGTTTTAATAATTTTATTTAGTCAATTGAAACTTGCACAATAATTTTTAATTAATTTTGAATAATAATTTAAAACTGGGAAATAAATAATTGAACTATCTGCAGGTGGCCCCACTTGAGACCAACTACAGACTGGCAGGGACTCGCGTCAAGACCAACGCGTATCGCATCAACAAGTTGGAGTTTCCATTTTTTGAAGAGCTCGTCAACATCCGATACAAAAGGTTTTGATTTTTTGCGTTTTCTTATTTTGTGATCTCACTCTTATGTCGGGTCAATAAAATAAAAATTACAACGAATACAATTGAGAGTAATTAATAAGTTTGCAAATTTGAAAATAATATTCCCTTTGTATAAGATTTGGTTCCATGCGATGTAATTAAAAAATTTTCTGACTTGATTATCAAATTGAAATATCTGTATTTCTTGAAATGTCGTGAAAACCAATTTCTATCACATTATAGTTTTAGTCAGTTTGTATTTTGTAAAAAAATGTGTTAACGACAATTACGGCAAAAGATTAATAAGTGAGATAACAAAATGAGACATGGTCGTCTTACTATTGAAATGTCATTCTGTCTTAATTGTTTTGTACTGTACATTCATCTTCATTGTTTTGCTCCGTCGTTCAATATCATTCAGTGTAAATGTAACAGCATAAAAAATCGGGGAAACATGGTAGATACCAGTTGCTGCTGGAGATGTACGCAGAGGTGCTGCGGAACAGTGCCATGCTGAAAGATTCCGAGTACTGCATGTGGAAGAAGTTGTTGGACGCGGACGTCAAGTGCAACTGCACAGACATCCACGTTGAGAAACTGCATTTTGATGGCTGCCATTTACCTCATATCGTTCCGGTTGCTTATCACAAGTTAGTGATCTCCTCATCATCGCCTTCGGTTGATCCTAGCTATTATTTATAAACGAAAATAATTGAAATAGGTGTCGTTGATAATACACGTTGGCTCATCAAGTCAAACAACCTCTAATTCAGTTCTGAAATATTTAACTAACATTTCTGATTCCGGTTAACAAGCATTAAGTTGGATTTATTTTTGCATGCGACAAAAAAGTTTTTCACGAATCAACCCAGGAAAGACTTTTCCGAGCACAAGGAGCAGCTGAGCCGAGCCATCCTGCCCTACATCGATGCCTCGCGCGACATTGTCATGGACACTGGACATCTGGTGGCTCTCTTCGTCGCCATTCTTGCCCTCGTGGACGCTCTCAGCAATGTCATCTGGATCTATTTCAAAAGGTTTTTCGATAGAAACAATTTTATTTTCGTTCTTATATTTGCATTTTAGTCTGTTTTAAAAACTTCTATTTATTTGATTAATTGAAATATACTTATTTTAAATCCGTTCAAATTTTGAAAAAAAAACTGATAAATTTTTGCAGATTCAACCTGCTGAGATTGAAGCCTTTGTTTGAGATTGAACACATCCCAATGAGCGGAGAACAGAGAACTTAATGAGGGCTTCATAAGCGAACCATCGCACGGCATGAAATGTGCTATTTACGTGCACGATGTGATTATGTAAATATTTTACAATCCTAATCAAATGCTGACATAACAATGCAGTCAGTGCATAACAATCATGAAACTAAACTATCAAGTTAGGGTTTCAGTAAGTAAGTAGGTAGGAGCACAAACTTACCTGACCAATTACCTCTACGATCAATGAACAATTAAAATATGTTTCATCCATTTTATATCTACCAGTTCATTTCAGTGTTTGTATTTTGAATTTCATATTGTTTCGTGTTTTTTTTTTGAATGACGTGAATCTACATAGTTTTAAAAACCAGTAACATCATTAGTTTGTACCACATACTTTTCTTCAATTTTTCTCATATATTGTGTTTTTAAATTGAGAACATCAGTTGAGCTGAAAATTGTGCACTTACATTTGTAACACAACAACAACAACGATTAATTAATAGATTGGTTCACAGGCTGATTGTCTGAGAAGTCACGTTCAGGTGAGCATCAATCACACCAGGTTGATGTTGTCCATCCATCACTTCCCTCCTTCCATGATTCAGCTACCGGCGCCTCATTCCTTCATATCATCGATCAATCTTTTTGTAAGACAGTCCGCAAGATGAATATGTTATTTCTAAATAATAATAATAACAACAAAATAAATTATATTAGACAAACGTACCCAGGTATGTCGGTTTGTGTTGCGCAAAATTTTAATGAAAAAGTGAGTGAGAGGTCCTGACAGAGTTGCGCAATAAGGAAAACAAAATGATTACAGTTGGATCTCTGCATGCCGGTTAATTTTATAATAAGCCTTCTATAAACTTCGCTAAATTTCACTGATCACGATTTTCATTTTTCAAGCATAGAAATTATTTACATACCTACTGGCTAGGTAATTTTAAAATACACTGAAATAAAACATCGAGAAGTCCTGAAAATTGTCTTTCTCATGTAAGGAAGAATTTAAAATAATAAATTCCGCGAAAGCGTTCCTCAATGAAAACATAGCAGGACTTAGATTTGAATGGTGTTAGCATTTCTCACCTCAGTTAATTTATTTAAAAGTAATTTACATGACCCTCTGCCTCACTGTTTCTCAAAGTGTCGTCACCAGGGACCGCCAAACGGCTGGTGGTCCGCCACACCGGTGCCGGTTTATGACGGTCTAATCAATTAATAAATGTAATAATCAGAGGTAAGTTTTATATTTTGGTTAGTTACAAAATTTGAGCAAAATTATATACATTATTATTAATTCTAAAAGCAAAACAGGAAACTTCTCGGATATTTATTCACCGTTATGTTGGCACCATTCTCAGTAAAACGACATCTTGTGCAAATTAAAAAAAAAACAAGATCATTTGTCACGTTAATTACACTTAAATAAATATTTAGCTAGCCATAAAATAACTCAACAATCTCTCTAAATTTGTATTACTGTTTCAAATGGTCGAACTGCTAAACTAGAATAAGTTGATTTGTATTAAATATATTGAAAATAGTATAAATGTAGAAGCCACGTACGTCTCATCAAGTTTATGACATAAATATTTAAAAAGTGGTTCTGCACTGAATAAACTTATTATGCCATTCACGTACTGCTAAAAAAACAGATCAGTCTAAACTGCCTCTTATTGTCATTGCCTCTGAGCTCACATGGTTCAATGGTGGTACCTGCTGTGCACATCAGAGTTGATTCTACATCTTTCTTAACTTCTGAAATCATCTCTTAAGAGTGCATCTTGTTTGGCTTTATTTTATAATATAAAATACCATATAAAACATCATCTTATACCACACAATTCATCATCTTACATTATGTAACACGTGCATCACATATTTTACATCTGGTGATGTTGCCTAATCTTCTATTCCATTTGCATGACTTTCCAAATATTTTCTGCTGACAATTAGCAGCTAACTTTTCAGAACTACCGCCAGAGTTGGATAACGATGACAACACAACACTCTAATACTTAATTTGCATATTCATTAAATTCTTTTTATTAAACGTGCCGCCACTTGAAATCAGATTAACATCATACGTGTGTTGATATTATAATGCTACCTGCGTAGCAATGACTGCCTACTTGTGAATGCAAACACACGTGTTCATTTACAAATGCCTATCCTTCTTTCTCTGTACAAGCAGGCTTAATTGTGTGTCTCTGTATTGTACACACGTCGTTAAAGTTGATCGTTTGTTAATGATTGTTTGTAATTATTAGATTTTAACGTCTGCCGCTGTTAAAACGCAAGCGCGTTTATGCGATTACATTTGACTACATATATTTATACACATAGGCATGTAACCCTCTATACATACCATAGACAGTAGACACCTTAAACTAAGATGTCTACGGTACATATATACATGCAAACAAACATGCAGACATGCAAGCATACATATATAGACATATAATGCATGCATGCATGTATATATGCTAGCATAAATATATACATACATACATTGAAGTAGTTATTAATAGCAGAAAGTAGAACTTCTACTTACCAATGCAACTTGCTGCTCCGTACCACCGACGTATATTGTGAATTCCAGGTCAACAGTGCATTGTGTGAAGGTAAAACAGTGCATTGTATGAAATGTACAACAGTGCATTGTGTGAAGGTACAACGGCGCATTGTATGAAATGTACAACAGTGCATTGTATGAGATGTACAACAGTGCATTGTGTGAAGGTACAACGGCGCATTGTATGAGATGTACAACAGTGCATTGTGTGAAATGTACAACAAAACATTTTCTACATTTACGCTGTTTCGGCATTTTAAACTGTAATACGATACGATTTATTGAACTAAATAAACTTAGCTCTATTTTTATAAACATAGCTTCAGAATTTTATGACTGACCGATATTTTTTCAATAAAAAAAAGCGATTGAATTTAACATTTGCGGATGGCTTGATTGAACTGACATTCAATGCCTGGCGATCGACGGTAAAAGATTCAGCAGATATGCGTTGTCCTGTCCAGGTGATTCTTCTCGGAGTAAGAAAAGAAGCATTCATCTAAAGATTTTAACGGAAACAATTGCAAAGATAGATTTGTAGTGATTTTGTGAAAATAGAAGAGCAATATAGTTCACTTTAAAAAGGATCAAGCTGATTTGTGTGCATATCAACAGTCTCACCAGTCCAAAACATTTCCAACATTTCCAGCGTTGTAGGTGGGACTTCCAAAAACTGATTAGTCGGCTAATTTGCAATAATTTTTTCATGCAAATTATATTTTACTGTATAACGATTAATGTTAATGCATGTAAGGAAATGGCAGAAAATGGGAATGTCTTTTGGAAATAATAAGCAAATAAAAACCCGCCTCTGAACACCATGTTAAATGAAAGAAATTGGAAAGGAGTTACAGATGTGTTTGTGTTTGCTATTCTCGCCCAACTCTAAATACCAACAACCTCGATTGTGTCGTTCTTATTTCCACAACTGTGTCTATGGAGAAAGAGTCGTTAAAACCATGTTTTCATGATAGCAAGGCAATATTCTCTACAATTGAATGATCATGATCAGTTTAACATTTGTTAATCAAATTCCCTTCAATTTGAAATTCACTACAAACACTTGAACAGCGAACGGCAGCCAATGAATGGATGAATAGCGATAGATTGCACGGGCTGAAGAGCACACTAGGAATCTATCTATCATATATATATATATATATATATATATATATATATATATATATATATATATATATATATATATAGTGTGTGGTGTGTGTGTTATATTTATTACTGTAAACATTCAAACAGATTATTCATATCTCCAGATTATCATATCTTTTTCAATACAAGGCTCCAAACAACACGGACCGGACCTGCTTTCAAATTCTTTCAAGGCTAACTTAATTGCAGGCATGTTAAATGTTTGCCCTAAAATGCTGAGTTGCTTCACTTTGCACAACACACCATACATACAACAGATAACATACAATATACACCGTACACCATGCAGACGTACACTTCCGTACCTTCCGCATTCACCGCATCGTACGATGGGTAACTTTCCAGCTCTGTACAGATGTCTTTCGAACGGCCAAGAAACAGAACATGAAACATTAGGTGGCTCTCTCATTGTCTCAGTTGAATTGTTTGTTTCTTTGTTTGCAGTTTAACAGCGTTTTAGCACAAAGAGGCTATCTTTAGACCCTGGGTTCACAATTGAATTGAGACCTCCCCATTGTCGAGTAAGCTAATTTTCACTTTGACAATACATTTTCAGTTGCAGCTACAAACATTACCGCATGACAGAGTGAAGAAACAATTAACAACGCAAACATATTCTAAAGTATCTGGGTGCTTCACGTTAATGCCAGCAGCAACAACAGGTTTTCAACATTTCCCTTATTTTGAATATTCTGGTGAACTAGTCTGTAAATCATTCAGTCTTCCACGCAACTGCACACGACGATCAACTCAGTACCTCCAAGCGCAATATGTGACAATTAAAGTATTATCAATATTTTAACTCCCAGACAATTTTCACTAAACATCAAAGATTTTGCTGGCTGTCGTCAGTTGCTAACAAATTCGTAAGAACTGCATTAATTGACATTTTTCAGAATGTACTCACTGCTGCTCAATTTTTAAATCCGTAATGATCCTATCATGAGTATTATAGGCCTAACGTGTGTGCGATGTGCGTGTGTACATACAAATAAATAAACAAATGAACGAACGAACGAACGATCGAATGGACGAACGGACGGATGGACGAACGGACGGGCGAACGAATAAATGAACGAATATATATACATATATATATATAATATATATAATATATATATAATATATATATATAATATATATAAATATGCATATATATATATATATATCGTTTATGAAAATCAGGAATAGGGTGGTCCCGAGTCCCAGGACGCTACCCCGCGGCACACCACTAGTAACCGGCGAGGAGCTGACAATTTGTCTTGAATTCGAACGAGTTGAGAACGTTCAGCTAGAAAGTTGGTCGGCCAGGTAAAGAGAATTACCTGTAATTCCATAGACCTTTAATTTATCAACTAGTTTGGTGTGCGACACAGAATCAACCGCTTTCCTGAAATCGAGAAAAATAACATCACATCTTTCCTTTTGTTGGCGAAGGAACATCCAACCACTGAAAAATTGTAACAGGTTAGTGCATGTGGATCGAGCAGGCAAAAAGCCATGCTGGAAGTTGGATATTAACTTGTTGACCGACAAATAGGATAGCATTTGTTTGTTGATGATTTTTTCCATTACCCGGCAACTTGAGCTGGTAAGCGAAATTGGCCCGTAGTTACCAGGATAGTTGGATAGATCCTTCTTATGTATTGGAGTGACTATTGCCAT